TGCCCCAAAATGTTCTTTGTCAATTTCTTTTAATCCAAGGATCCAATTAAAGTTCACAAACTACATTTCATTGTCATGTCACTACAGTGTCATTTAATCAGAAATTGTCCTTTCATATTTTTGTGTTTGTTTCTTGGCCTGGATATTTTTTAAAAGCCCAGGCCACTTGTCTTTTGGAATGTTCTGTACTCTGAATGCATCTTATTGTTTTTTCATTACTAGATTCAGATACAAAGTTTTTGGCAAGTGGACTATATAGGTGATATGTACTTTCCACTGACTTATGTAAGGACAGACAGACACAAGATCCCATGATATGCATCTGGCCCATCCACTGGAGATGTTAGGGCTAATCACTTGCTTGCGGTGATGTCCAACTCATCTCTCCATTGTGAAGATACATACTTTCCTTTGTAATTAAAGGATTATTATGATTTGAGACCATGTGAATGTTCAGTTCTCTAAGAGCCTAATGGTTTTCAGCATCCGTTAATAAACCTTGCTTGAATCAGTTATTACATTGGAAGATGGCATTCTTCTATAAAGAAAAGGTGGGGGTTTTTTTGTCTGTTTTGCCTTCTTTTTCTCTCCTCACCTTAAAAAATACCTCTATGGTCTATGGGTTATTTTTAAGTTCAGTGTTCTATAATTCATTACCATCGCTCTTTTTTTTTTTAACCTCAAAATGTCCCAAGTTTTGTCCCTCAAGCTAACTTTTGTCTCATCAGTCTTGGGCATTTTGCCTTCCCTGACTCATCAAGTTCCAACTTCACCTTATTATGCTTTATCTGCCTCAAACCTGGAACCAGCCATTTCCCCAACCATCCCCGGCTCTGTGGACTAGTATTTAGGAACCAGGTGTGCCACTATTACCGGCTGTGGTTTCCAAACCCTTTCAGAGGACAGAGCCCGTGGGCGGGGCCTGGGGAGAGGGGAAACACACACATACACGGAGACCTGTGGCTCAAATGTGGGAACACAAGGCGTTCCTGACCGCCCTCATCCTTATCTCCTCTCATAGAACCTGCTTCACAATAACATCATGCGCTTACTCATGTCTCATGCTGCAGAACTGTTTCAGAATTACTTTTTTTTTTGAGTCAGGGTCTCACTTTGTCACCCAGGCTGGGGCTGGCGTGCAGTGGCATGATCACAGCTCACAGCAGCCTTGACCTCCTGCACTCAGGTGATCCTTCTACCTTAGCCTTCCAAGAAGCTGGGACTACAGGCACCTGCCACCATGCCCAGCCAATTTGGTTTTTGTAGAGATGAGGTCTCTCTATGTTGCCTAGGCTGGCCTTGAACTCTGCTGCTCAAGTATTCCTCCCACCTAGGCCTCCCAAAGTGCTGAGATCACAAGTGTGAGCCACCGCACCTGGCCAGAATTACTAATTAAAAATAATGTTACTAACATTTTTATCTTTACACACCTGAGTCTAACATTAGAGGGACCAAATCACCCCACATGATCCTGCAGAAGTCACACACAGCAACCTAACGGGTTTCTGAACAGCAACCAGAGATGACCCCAACTACACACAAGTCAGAACTCAAACGGGACACAGTTCGGAACAGATTACTGGCAACTTTCATTTTAACTGATTGAAGACTATTTGTTTCCCTTTTCCTGTTTAATGTTTGCCATTTGTTTAAAAATAATCCCATGGGATGGGTGTGGGGAAAGCATGAGAAGGTCCCCAGGGGTGGCCAGAGTCAAAGACGTTTGAGTTGGGGGAGAGGCGTGAGTGTTCTTTGTGTAATTTATATTCTCCCCTTTTGTGGGTGTTTACCATTTCTATAATGAAAAGATTGCTTAAAAAGGTATGTCTGTCAGGGGCACACGGCAACACACTGGATGGCAGGTCCACTATGGGGGGTGGGAAGAGGACTCGCTAGAAGTCCAGACGTCACCTGCAGGCACTACTTATGCAGGAAGCCCTCACATGTACCCCATGTGGGGCAAAATGAATCCATGACCAAGAAGACGAAGAATCTGATGACTCTCCCACTAACTTTTCAAGAACATTATGTGAAAACATTACATAAGAAAAGCAATGATCTATCTTGTGAAAGTAGTTTTTTTTCTTCCTGTGGAATAACTGTGTTGCCATATTTGCTAGATGTTCAGGAATATCTTAGGAATCCAATTAAAAATGCACCAATACATTTTTTTTTTTTGACAAGAACACAATGTAGTCCATCATTTTAAAAAATATATCCCTGTCAAATCAGGGTAAGTGTATGCTTAAACAGCCAGTCCCAACTCAAACAAAAGGCAAGAGAGGAAAATGTGGCTCTGTGTATACCTAGGAAGTGGTGGCGACACTCTGGGTTACCTTGAAGAACTTGCCAAAGGAGTCCTAAAGTAAATTTTGGAACAATTTAAGGTCCCAGGGCCTTAACGGAGAAACCATATAGCTAAACTACTCTCTAGGAAACAAAATGTTAACAATTGTGGGACTTCAGTTCTGTCTTTAATTTTGTCAAATAACTTTGTCATTAGAGGGAGATTGGGTGGTTAAAGTATTCTGTATTTTGGACTTCCCCATTCCCTGGGGATTAGTGGTTTAAATTCCCCTCATAGTCCCACATGAAAACCCTCGGGCTACAGCATAAAGCAGCAATGGCCACAGCCAGATCAGCTGTGAGGTGGGGCATGCTTCAGCATAGCACAGCGAGGGGCATTTCGTGAGACCTAAACTTGTAAAACCCAATCTCGAGACAAAAACAGGAAATGCGATCAGGCTCTGCTATCCCAAGGCAATTTTGGTGTTTCTGAGGGAATGAGGAAGTATGGAAGGTTTTCCAAGCAAGAGGGAAGCTGAACTCTGAAGAGAGTACATGTTACTTGTAAAAGCATACAAATGAATTGAAAGTTTTAAAAAATGACACGGGGGGTGATGGGCTCTTCTGTCTAGTAAAGCTACTTCCCCCACTCCATTTTGTCAAAAGCAGTAAGGTGCTAGGAAAATGAAGGACTGCAACTACACAGTGCAAATGAGGGAAAGGTACGTGGCCTCTGGCCTCCCTTTTCTTAGGGAAGGGGGTTGGTGACAACATGACCAGGAGGATGCCGGCCAATCACAGCCCAACAGGGACTGGTTCTAGCAGACTCAGACACTGACCAAAAGCAACAAAGCATTCTCCCCAAAGCTTTAGAGGACAGGGAATATCAACGCCAGAAGACAAATGACCACTGCTGTTCATGTGTTCATGGGAAATAGCATTTTAGTAAAAGTCACGATCCAAGATAAGAAGTCACTCACAAATGCTGCACAAAAGAATCTGGCTGAGCCTGGGAACAGATCATCACATCAATCTTCCTGGCACACCTTATCAAGGAAAAACGCAGTAGACAGGATGTATTCTAGCCAAGGATACTCTGCTCATTCAGTGCCCAGATTAGCCCTAACAATGCAAAACCCTCCGTTTTCTGACGGAGAACTGCTCTTTTGGAAAAATCAGTTCTGGGTGTACTGGGATATGTGACAGCCTGAGATACCTGACAGTTAAAATGGTGGGAGCAGCAGTTGGTACTCCTGCCTCTATCTTGTCACACTGGACTCACACTGGGACAATCCTCTCAGCCTGGGCAAGAGGAGGCATGTCTACTTGCCCCAGGGCAAGCCCAAACTGCAGTGGTGCGGACTACCCTCTCCAGGGGCCACATTTCTAGACAGGCTGTTATCCTTTCCATTAAGAGGAGAAAAGTCCCTAATTTCTGTCCCAGTCTCAGACAGAAGGATGCCAAGACTAGTATGCAGGCAAGGCAGCCTTCAAGGTTACTGCCTCAGAACTCCTGGATAGCCTGTCAACAATGCAAAGAAAAGAGGTTTACTATGTGGCCTGAAGCAGTGCTGGAGTGAAAAGTAATTCTACATGTTTTTTATAAATGTCTCTTCTGCTCACTTACCTCAGCTAAGATCTCAAAAACAGTAGGACAAAATTGTATCAGAAAGTACTTTTTAGCAAAGATCATCCCTATCTTGGGAAGTCTGCAAAACTCCAAAGTGAATTTTGATATGAGTGTTGCTTTGTGTGCAGAAGCATCATGCTGCCAGACGGGTCCTTGGAGGTAGACACCTACATGCAGGACCAGAAGAGTCCAGTGCCGATTCTGAGCTGCAGGAAGACATAGTTGCCACTTGGGCCAGGAAACTCAGAGGCCAGATGCAGAGAGGAAGCTGCTCAAAACAGTCTTGAGTCGCAGCAAAGCCACAGGTATGGATCTCTAGGAAGATCTGGTAGTTGCATTCTTGCCTGATTTGAGTTCCAGAGTATTATTAGGTTAGTCAACAACACCAGAATGAAGAGGCTGCTGTAGAGAAACCAGTAGCAGGTAACAGACTTTACGTAAAGCCTCCACATTCTGCATCCTTCTGCATCACAGATGTGGCCGAGATCGCGCAGCTTCCCAGCCTCTGGCCAGTCTCCTGGAGTCCTGGACTGAGGGTCAAGTGAAGACCAGGCAGTAGCAAAGGCTTTAGACCTAGTTTCCTTCAAATGACAATTTTACTGTAAAAATGGATGCAAATAAACTAAGCCACCAATGGAAAATCATTAAAAATGGTATTGATGACAATCTAACAGCTACAAATGTTTTGCATGACTTTATCATTGAAATATATGGTAACCTGCTCTGAAACAGTCATTAGCGTAAGGAAATGCTGACTCACATACCCCCATCATCCAAAAACATGCTGTGGAATAGAGCGTCATTCAGACAGATCATGTCCATGGCCACCCTAATTGCTCTCTGCTATGCACTACAGGAGGGGAACAACTAGTTTATGTGACAAGCCCCAATACACTATTCCCCTAGCTCATGTGAACAAAACTATATGCACCACATTCTACCTTCCCACCCAAGCTTCAATTTGTAGAAAATCCTGAGTCTGTTGTTGAAATAAGTGCAATTCTTTGAGTGTCACAAGAAGAGAGGAGTCAAAGATTAGTTCAGAGGAGGCCTGCCTAAAGTTTAGCAAACACATGGAGACACTTTCGGGATGCCATTTTCAGTCACAGACTTTTATTTTTAAACTAGCTGTGAGTATCCAAAATTAAAGTTCAAAAACAAAACAAAAAGAGAACATAAACAGCCAAAGTTGTCTATATACTGCTTGTTCTAGTAGCCAAAGAGGAATTCTACCAAATATCCAAGGATGTTGCTGGACGAGAAGACAAGTTCAAGGGCCTGCTGTCGTGGTGGTGGTTGACTTTCTTGGAGGAACATATCTGTGACTTTCCCATTTAATGGGTCTCTGGTCTTAACTATCAATGCATCCCTTTTCCGAGAGGAAAAGACTAGTAATAAATACATATAGTATTATCTAAAATCCCTTACCATCATCCCAGAAAATCTTATTAAATATAAAAGTGAACTACTTAGAATTGTGTCTGCCAGTGGTGTCTCAGTAATGGCTTACTGAATGACATACACCTTAATCTTCATCTCTACTGGTTACTCTGCCGCTCAGAAACTCATGACCTTGAGTACTAGTTACTAGTGTGGTGACTAATCAGACAGGGTCACTGGGAAAGCCAGAAGGCTTAGGACATATGCCTTCATGTGTATCTCGGCCAAAACAAGTTACCTATGCAGATGCTACTCTATACAGGGCCAAGCTCTGGAAAAATCCAGAAAATCAAGGGAAGGGAGACAGTTCAGCACCCAGAGCACACTTCACGCCATGCCTATGCATACATCCCCAGCCAACACTTGGCAAAGGCTATTTTTTAGTTTTTTTCACTTTTCCTTGATCCTCTACTTTCCTAATGGCTGCTTGGATGGCCTCTTGGTCACCCAGGAACTGATGAGGCCCAACTGCTTGCAGGTTTTCATCCAGCTCCAGAAGAATGGGGACTCCCGTGGGAAGAGTAATGTTGATAATGTCTTCATCGGAGATGCCTGTTGAGGGAGGAGGAGAGACAAGGTGTTAGGACACTCAGGAAGTTCTGATGAAGCTGAAGTGTTTGATGTGTTTGCAGTCTTCAAAATGCTTGAGGTTTAATATTAATGATTTTAGTTTCAAAACTGTTAAAACTCCATTTTGTTTGCGTAAGCCCCTGTGTGGCTGATGCAGTATTTTTAAAGTTTGCATGTAATCAACCCCCACAGCCCTGTACCCACCCAGTGCTCTCCCTTATCTGAGTTGTACCCCTGGCTACCCTTGCCTAACCCCAAACCAGATGCTCTATCTCTGTAATTCCTCAGTTTGCCTATAAAAAATACCCTGAAAATTTCACTCAGGGTTGAGAGATTTTGGTGGTGCATGCCCCCTCTTGACCACCGGCTATTAACGGACTCAGAATCTGACTTTTTGCTGTGTGGGCAATCTATTTTCTTGCGACTCAGTTACAACATTTGGAGGCCCCAGCAAGAATCCTCTGCCAAAATTCGCCAAGCCCAAGAGGCAGCCTCATTCTGGCCCTCCCAGCTTCATGGGTAAGTTATAGGGGAGGTGCCCCTGAGATGTTCTAGGGTCCCATAACCTCTCATCAGGCTCAGAGCGGGCAGGAATGACCGCTGGCTCCTCTTACCTCAAAAAGAACCTGAGTCCCTCCATATTCTCCTAGGAGGTAAGAATCTATACTCTGTATTGCTTATCCAGTAAGCACCTGTATTTGTACAAGGGAAACATAGCCTGATGAGGCTCCCTTGGGCTCTTCTGAGGATCCAAGACGTCAGAAGAAATGAACCATAATTCCATATCCATAGTTAATTTCAGGACCTTGCAACTGGGTTTCGGAGTTCTGCTTCAGTATCTGATTTTTGCTAAGCTGTCTTTTTCCCTTCCTTCAGAATTTGGAAAGGGTTTAGTTTGTAATTAAATGTCATTTGTCACTGAAGGTTTTGTTTCTATGCAAATTGATAACAGCTATTTGTAACTGCTAACAAGTGATTGTCAGGAGGGGAAAGGGAAGCTTTCTCACCTAGGTTCTATGGGGCCACTCTGAGGAATGCCGAACTGACTTATCAGTGCTCTTGTGTCCATGTGAATTTACTAAAAAGCCAGTTGCTTTGTTATTCTTATGTTGGTGTGTTTCTGTTTCTCTTGGATAATGGTTCCTGTCTCAATGCCTTTTTGGTCTGAAGTCTACTTTGGTATTAGAATTGCAATCTCTGTTTTCTTATTGATTAGCAACTGTTCCCTTATGTCATTTTACGTTTTCCTCTGAGTGCTGAAAGTGCTCAAAGGGGCCCCGGGGTGCTCTAATATAAACCCAGTAGAAGCGTTACTATCTTCCTTTTGTCTGTATAATATTTCTGCAGGCAGCAAAAGCCCCCAGGGAAATAGGGAACTCCATTCTTATGAACCAGACTTTGGTCTGAGTAGAAGATAAGAGGTACTCTTCCCTTCGGTCTGTGCAAACAGACTCCCTTAGGTGACCGAGGGACTTGCGAAGGTATTGAGGATCAACTCCTGCGACATGTAAGGGCCTCATAGGGGCCTCTCCACTCTAGTCATAAAGGACTCTGTGGGCTACAGAAGGCCCCAGGCTTGATCAGATGCTCAACGGTCCTAAATCCATGCCAGAACCTGGAAACAGTGATCGGAGGGTTGGAAAAGGTCCTAGAGGCAGATCACCTGGAAGCTGAAAGGGTATCTCAGTGTTCTTGACAGTTGCCCCATTCGGGGGGTGCACATAGGACTGGTCACCCAGCACCCGGGGCCCCTTTGAGCACTTTCAGCACTCAGAGGAAAAACTGAGACACATAAGAGGCAGGGAAACAAGTGGCGGTGTCATGGCCAATAGGAGCTCCCTCCACAAGCAGCACATTTTGACCCAGAACAACTAGTGCTGTCCAAAGTTAAAAATTGCTTGCTAGTTCTACCCTATGTCTACACTATCCTCTAATATAAACCTAGTGCTGTCCAAAGTTAAAAATTGCTTGCCAGTTCTACCCCATGTCTACACTATCCTCTAATATAAACCTACTCTTGCAGGTTTCCTACATATTGTTTCTCCCAATCTGTTAGAATGTCTTTTGTTATCAAGAATATATAAAATTGACTGCTGTATATGTTAAATTCTTTTGTTAACTTGACACAAGTTATGTTTTCCTTTCCTTGTTTGAATTTCTCTAACTCGTTCTTTTCATTTAATAACAGGGTTTCACAGATTTCTCAAGCCCCTAGTCCCCTGAACTGCATGACAAAAAGCTTTTCTGTTGGATATGCTGAGGACTACTGTGTCCGCCTTTCAAAAGGCAGACTCTGGACCCTCTGTAAAATTGACTTGCCTGCATTTAATGTTGAATGGCCCTCTACAGGGTCACTGGACGTAGATGTAACTCAATCTGTTTGGAAGGTCATTACAAGGACTCCTGGTCCTCCTGACCAGTTTCCCTATATCGACCAATGGTTAAATTTGGTCCAAAATCCACCCCCAAGGTTGAAGATATGTTCCCTTGGAATTTCCAGTTGTGTCCTTGGTTCTAAACCTCTGAACTGTAACCCTGTGCCGTCTGGTATTTCCCTTGTTCATTTTCCGTAACCCCTACCTCGGTTGGGCTGTATTCTGTTTTACCCCCTTCTACTGAGGAACCTCTTGAGGACCCGGTTATTTCTAACTCTAAATTTCTGCCATATAAGCCTCAGGCTTCCTCACCTACCATCACCTCTTCCACCTCCCCTTTGCCTTCTCCCGCCATTTGGCTACCTGTCTCTGATCTCGGACGGACCTGGTCCCTCTCCTTCCCTTCTGGTAAGTCCCTCCTCCACAAGAGGTGGATTGGACCGATCAACCCATCTTGGTGCACTTTCCCTTTTCTACTTCTGATTTATATCATTGTAAACACCAAAATCCCGTATTTTCTGATAAGCCACAGGCTTTAATTTCTCTGATGGAATCAGTCATGCACACTCATCATCCCACCTGGGATGACTGTCAACAGCTCTTCTTAACCCTATTTTCCTCTGAAGAGTGAGAGTGCATTACAACTGAGGCCAGAAAGTCTTTTCTGGCTTCAGCTGCAGGTACACAGGAATAAAATCAAGACATGTTAGATGAATTTGTTTCCTCTTCTCACCCAGATTGGGACCCTAACACTTTGGCAGAATCCCAGGCATTAAATAGCTGGGTTGAGGGGAGTGGCCCAAAAACCTATCAATCTTTCTAAAACTACCAAGATTCTCCAGGGTCCCTCAGGAGACCTTTCGTACCTATTCCCCATCCGATCCCTTGGCCCCCAAGCATGCTTAAGTTATCAATTTGACATTTGTAACACAAGCAGCTCTGGACATCCAGAAAAAATTACAAAATCTTGAGGGTTTTGCAGGAATAAATATTTCTCAGCTACTCGAAGTAGCCTGAAAAGTCTTTAACAACCGAAATCCTGAAAAACAGAAACTGGCAATACAAGGGGCAGATAAAGCAGCCAGACATCAGGCAAAAATATTGGTAGCTGCCCTCCAAGCCTCCCAACCTGACTCAAGGCTGCCATGCCAAAAGAGGGGAGGGTTTAGGAAGAGACAAAAGGGGACTGGACGTCCCCCATTGGCTAAACATCAATGTGTATACTGCAAGGAATTTGGATATTGGGTAAAAGACTGTCCCTGAAAGCCAAAAACAAACAACCCTAAGCCAGTTCTGGTTTTGCCTGCTGCTGGGGAAGCTGAAAATGACTGACTGAAGGGGCCAGGCCTCTTTTTCTTTAGAGTCCCAAGAGTCCATGGTAACTGCAGCTATTGGGGCCACCTGGTCCAACTCTTAGTGGACACTGGGGCAGAGTTTTCAGTCCTAAAATCTCTATTAGGACCCATGTCCAACAAACAAATTTTTGTTCAAGTGGCAATAGGCATGATTACGAACTGTAAGTTTCACTTCCAATCAGACTGCTGACTTAGGTCAAAAACGAGTCACTCACTTGTTCCTCATAGTCCCTGACTGCCCATACTCCCTCATGGGCCAGGATTTACTTTGAAATTTAAGAGCAACTATTGTATTTTTGCCTGAAAAAACTGAAATGTTTGTTCCTACTGCTTGCCAGATGCTTTTAACTGTCCCACTTTCTGAAGAATACCTTCTAATTTCTAATTCTCCCACTGAGAATGTCTCACCAAGCTTGCTTCTATAGTTACAGCAAGAGTTCCCTTCAGTCTGGGCGGAGACCAATCTGCCAGGATTGGCAAAGCATCACCCTCCAGCCGTGGTGAGTCTGTTAGCCTCTGCCACCCCTGTTCATATTTGACAATACCCTATGAGTTTACAGGCCTGGAGAGGAATTGCTCCTCACAGTAAAAGACGCTTGGCTGCCAACATTTTAACACCTTGTAAATCTGCTTGGAACACTCCATTCTTGCCAATCAAAAAGCCAGGGATATCTGACTACAGGCTCGTTCAGGGCTTAAGAGAAGTTAATAAGCAGGTTGAAACAATTCATCCTACCATTCTCAACCCATACACCTTGCTCAGTCTGCTTCCCCTCAACTTTTTTTTTTTTTTTGAGTTGGAGTCTCACTCTGTCACCCAGACTGGAGTGCAGTGGCCGCTCCCGGTCACCACAGCCTCGACCTGCTGGGCTCTGGCGATCCTTCTGCCTCAGCCTTCCAAGTAGCTGGAACTATAGGCGTGCACTACCATGCCCAGCTAATTTTTTGATTTATTGTAGAGATGAGGTCTCACCAAGTTGCCCAGGCGAGTCTCGAACCCATGGGCTCAGGCAATCCACTCACCTCAGTCTCCCAAAGCACAGGATTACAGGCTGAACCACTGAGCCCAGCTGAGAATGCCTTCTTTTCTATTCCCTTGTTCCCTGTCAGTAAACCCATCTTTGCCTTTGAATGGACAGATCTGGATTCAGGGGACACCAGCCAGCTGACTTGGATCAGGCTGCCACAAGGTTTCAAAAACTTCCTGACACTATTTGAGGAAGGTTGCAATAGGACTTTTCAGGTTTTCATA